GTCTTTAATACCAGCACTCAGGAGAGAGAAGTAGACAGATCTCTTAGTTCAAGGCCAGTCTGGTCTACAGATCAAGTTTCAGGACAGCTAGTGATACAGAATTAGATCTGTTTTACAGCTTGGGGCATAGGTCTTTAATCCTATACCAATACTCATTTGGGAAGTAGAGGAAGGTGGTTCTCTCTGAGTTCAAGGCCGGGTCTCAAAACCAAACCAAAATAAAATAAAGCCCAAATCTTCTCTTTCTGATGGACTTTCAGTTTTGTGAGACAGAGTTTCATATAACTCAAGTTGGCCTTGAACTCACTAGGCTGCTGAGAAGATCAGACCTTGGAACTCTGATCTCCCTGCCTTCACCTCCTGAGCTAGGACTTCATGTATGTGACCCCAAGTCAGCTGTTGGTTGTCAGTTGGTATCCCAACTTCCAAATCCTTGTCCACACAGGATCTCTCTGATGCAGCTGGAACAATTGCTTCTACCCATAGCTTTCTTCTCAACAGAACTGTCATCCTGAACACACAAAATCCAACCTTTAAGTATCTTTCCATTACATTCAAGATGAACTATGAGCCTTGCCTGCACAATGCTCTCTGACTACCCGCCTATGTGTGCCTGATTGAATCTTTTTCCCTGGTAAGAGTTGTCTTTTCTTTAAATAATAGTTTAGATGTACTTGGTTAGAGAGAAGCTTAGAATTTATTTTTAAATATGTGATCCAAAGTAACTATCTCATTACATCAATTCTTTGCATAAAGTGAATTAAACACTGAAATGCATTGCCCATATTCCCTGACACAAAGATAAAAATATGGCAGATTACCAGAGTAGCTTCTAATTAAAAATGAATCAGATTAGGAAAATTAAAAGGGATTTTGACTAGTCTGACAACCTAAACTGTCCTATTTAGTTGACAGCCGAATCTAATTTAAAGATCTGTGCTACGGCTCAGTACAGTTCACTATATAGTCAAGGAGTACCTTAAAACTCCTGATCCCTCTGCTTCTGCTGCCAAGTGCTGGCACTACAAGTGTGTGCCACTATGTCTGTTTTCCCCCCACCACTACCTTTCTTTAAAATTTTTTAGTCTTTTGGGGTTTGGCCTCCATGGATGTGTTTGTGAGGGTGTCAGATTCATTGGAACCTAAGTTACAGACAGTTGTGAACTGCTATGTGGGTGCTGGGAATTGAATTCAGCCAGCGCTCTTAACTTTAGAGCCATTTCTACACACACACACGCACACGCACACGCACACGCACACGCACACGCACACGCACACGCACACGCACACTTTTTTAAATTTTTGAAGTAAAAAAATTTTTTAAAAGGACCTAAGATCTTTACCACACAGTATACATACTACTAAGCTGGCTACAAACAAACAAGAAAAGTTTCAAGCACACACTGTAGCTCAACCACATTATTATCACTTTACTGTTTTAAATTTTTACTCTTTTTTGCTACACATAAAACATTTTGTTATTTGGATATAGGGACTTAATATGTACCTCTGGCTGGCCAGTTGTGAAACTAGGTATGCAGAAAAGGTTGAAATTGGACTAACAGAGATCCACCTGACTCTTGTCTCTGGAGTGCTGCACTACTCTGCCCAGGACACACACACACACACACACACACACGCATTACTATCTATTCATAATTAGACCGTATGTTACATAGTTTATATATAAACTGTGGTTTGGTGTAAATGTGTGGTATTGCCCTGTTACACAAGTGCTCGGCGGTGGTGCAGCTACACGCGTGTCCCTTGCTCCTAACAGCGAGCACACATGCTATAGCTAACAAATGGAGTCAGGAGAAGTGGGCGTGAGAACTTACGGAACGACCTCTAGATTAAAACAGCATCCAGAGTCCAAACAGTGCTCAAGTTTCCATTTATATCCTCACATCTCCAAAGCCTTGTAAAGATGACACTTAAATAAAACCTCTTCTTTACACTCTCTGCTACACAGAGGCACTGCCTCACATAGCGGCTAAAGAATATTTGGTACTGTACATCCATCTATTCTTACTAACCTTCCTATGTCAAGGCCATACATGTTTGAGTATTTCATGAACAGTTAACAAACACAATTCACTTAATTCTAACAAGGTCCTCTGTAGTTCAGGCTGACCAGCATTGACTCCTGATCTTCCTGCCTCTACCTGCTCAAGTGCTGATACTACAGGTATGCACCACTAAGCCTGTTAAAAAATACACATATATGACTGAGGTAACATCTTGCCATGTTACAAGGCTGATTTACAATTCCTGGCTCCAAGCAATCCTCCTGCCTCAACTACCTGATTACTGGTACTACAGAGGCATAAACCACCCACCAGGTCCAAATTCCTTTCTAATTTTTTGTTTGTTTGTTTGTTTTTCGAGACAGGGTTTCTCTGTGTAGCCCTGGCTATCCTGGAACTCACTCTGTAGACCAGGCTGGCCTCGAACTCAAAAATCCACCTGCCTCTGCCTCCCAAGTGCTGGGATTAAAGGCGTGAGTAACCACTGCCCGGCTCCTTTCTATTTTTAAAGAGATGGGGTCAATACATAGTCCAATGGCCCCAAACTTGTAGGGTCAAGCAATCTTCCTACTGAGTAGCTCCAACTAAACAGATGAGTACCACAGTCCTGCCTAGTGTCCTATTTGCCAGAAAGGCAACAACAGGTAGTATGGATATCACTTCATGGAAAATTAAAATCAAGTCCAGAACGCTTTCTGATAACCAGTGATAAAACTTCTTACTCACGGATGCCTAACTATATATAACTATATATGGTTACTAACAACCAGCAGCACTGCCAACATGCATAGCAAGAAACATCTATGGAAAATACATCAGAACTGCTGTGCACAGTGCAGATGTTTTTAATCCCAGAACTGGAAGGCAAAGATGGGTTCATCTCTTGAGCTCACTGGCCAAGCAATCTAGCCCAACTATAAGACCTTATCTCAAAGATCAAGTAGACAGTTTCTAAAGAATACCACCTCAGGTTGACATCTGGCCTCTATACACAAACATGTATACACACGACATATGTACATATACCCAAACATTAATACACACACACACACACACACACACACACACACACCCCAATTCTATACTAACAAATATTTTTAACATCCAAGCTGGGGGTGATAACATACACCTAAGATCAGGAGGCTGAGGCTAAAGGACAAACTGAAGGACTACTTGGGTCTGCCACACACACACACACACACAGACTTAATCTAAACTTGCATTTATGAATCCATTTAAAGTGCTGGGGGCTGGTCTCAGGGCCTCCTCCATTCCAGGAAAGCACTCTGCCACCAAGCCACCCCCTCTCAATTTCACTTCTTACTATCTGGGAGCTCAAATTGAATTCATCATCAGTATACATGCCAGACACTATGGGAAAAAGATTTTAAAAGAACACCGAGTCAAGATTATCTCATTTTCTCTCCCTTCTGTTTAATTCTATGTCTATACAACTCAAAAAGTAAATACACCTTGCCCTTTTTCAATGAGCTAGTGCCTCTCAAAATGCTTAAAGTACATCTTAATAGTATTGCATTGCTGATGACCCGAAAATGGATCATGTCACAAACTGATTAAAACTCTAACGAAATCCTCCTCTGAAGGAAAGGACGGCTAATACACGTATTTCAACTACATCAACTTCATTCTTCCTGAAGGAAAGATGATACTTATATGTAGAACATCAAATTCTGAAAAGTATACAGAAACGCAAAATAAAACTTATGACTGTTAAATTAACGTGGGGCTTTGTGTCACTAGTTAAAAGACTAGTAGTTAGAGCAATGTTTTCTGTTTAGGTATTTTAGGGGAGAAGATGCAGGCAGAAGCTCAGTGGTGGAGGTGCCTGCCTGGAGAAGCCGGGCTCCAAGTCTGATCCCAGCACTGGAGTGGAAAACGGTCTTTGAGGATAAATCTCAGAAGGCTTCAGTGACATGTGCCCTGTGCCTGGCGCATGCCTGGGAAGAGCTCTATCTCTACAGCACAGGCTGCATCCTCGTAGTTGCCTCTTGGCTTCCACAAGTCCTATTGTCTGCTGTTAAACAGGTAACAAACTACACTTGGGATGTCAATTTTCTGACTTTAAATAGGTCTACATGATACATATGTGAACATTTATATTTGAAGTGTTTCAATAGAAACTCTGAAGTTGAGAGACTCAGGAGTAATCAAGGCATGGAGAAGCACAGCAGAAGAGTCCTGTGAAGAAAGGGAGGACTCTTCTTTCTGCTTTCCTGCCATGGACTGAAGCTGTGGAAAGGCTCTGACCCCTAGCCACATACATCGGTCTAATGTCCAGTGTGCTTATAAACTGTCAGACTCAACCCCTCACAGCTATGCATCCCATGTCCTGTAGCTTGCAGGATCTTACAGCACTGAAGTAATTTCTCATCTGTTTATCCATACATTTCTCCTGGGTAGGCGCAGGTTTAGAAAACCTACCTCAGGACCTGAAGGAAAGAAGAGCCCTAAGAATTCCTCATGTTAAGGAAGAATTACAGATGCTCTTTAGTATTCTCAGGACATAAAACTCTACAGGAAGTAAAGTGGTTTGACACTGGTACGGGTTGCGACTTCTGATAGGATTTAGTTCTGGGATCATCCTTAATACACTACGTCATTCTAACACACTATTTATACTACACGGAAATGTGGAAGGCTGGAATTAAAGCAAAACTTCAGGATGTTTTTTTTAGTCTGTTTTGCTAGAGTTGGGGTTAGTCTAAACTGCAGGAAACTAGGCATCAGTTGTGAAGATGGTAAAGACAGTAACTGTAGACCCATGAAATCCCATTCCCTCTTGCGGTGTGCAGACATAGACATACAGACAAAACATCCATGTAAGTTTTTTTTTAAAAAAAAAAAAGGTCAAGAAAGGAAAAATTCAGTTTAGCAAAAGTTTCTGGACAATCATCTCTCATAAAATATATGGTTTTTATTTTCCTCTTAGATTTCAGAACTGTCATCACATACCTATAGATGGAGATTTGAAAGGGTATTTATCAGGAAGGTCCACTCTAACTTTCCACACCCCACCTTCATATGGTGCTGTAACAGAAATAAAACATGTTATCCATTAGAACTGTATCTCCAAAGCAGTAATTAAACCCAAGTATAAATGAACACTAAATCCCTCTCTCTCCTGAGAAAGGCCTCAAACCAATTCCACAAGAGCCAGGAACCAGCTGAACAAGGGGACTCTCGCTGTGACCCTAGCACTTAGGAAGATATGGCAGGAGGATTGCTGTGGATTCTAGGCTAGCCTGGGTTACAAAGGGGAAAAAACACCCAAGATCAACTACAACTAGCAGAGTAGGTACTTCATCTCAGATTAATGTGTTTCTCTTTACACTGTATCTAACAGGAACAGACCTGTTCTATTACAGTTATCTTGTTCTGATCAGAATCTCTCGTTACTTATTTAGGAGACTGAGGCAAGAAGACCCAAAATTCAAGGGCCCCCGAACTAGGGTAATTTCAAGCCAGCTTGAACAACTAGTGAGACCTTGACCCTCACTAAGGAGACTGAAGAGATGAGTCAGTAGTTAAGAACACCTGTTGCTCTTGCAGAGGAGCCAGATTAAACTTTCAGTACCCACACTGTAGTTCGCAACAACTGTAACTCCCAATCCCAGAGGAGCTGACCCCGCTTCTTACCTCTAAAGGAAAGTGTGTACACTAGGCACACACACAGTATACATACACACACATACGTTAAATACTCATACATGTAAAAAAATTTTTAAACCTTAAAAAGTAAGAGAGGGGTCAGGGAGGGGGATGAGGGAATATAGGTCAGAGGTAGAGCTGTGCACAAAGCCTGAGGTCAATCACCAGTACCAGAAAAAAACAAAAACAAAAACAAAAACCCACCATATATTTTCCTTTAAAATACCCAGAGTTAAGCCAATACTCACTTTTTACTTGATTCTATTGAACACTACTCATTTGTTTGTAAAGAGATAGTCATGTTCCTTTTTCTCCTACCTTAACCAATCCCCCAAACAAAAACAGAACAAGAAAATACACTTCCCAAGGAACATCTATGTGACCATCCGTAACAGAACCAGAACTTGTGAAAAGGTAAAAAGATCTCTTCACTCACTGGTTCTAGTATTTGTTAACACTTACTTTCCAAAGCCATGCGCCTGTTGATAGTTCTATAGTCTAGTAAAGATTATTAAAAAGAACACATACCCACACATGTACTTACTTCCTTGCGGTCCGTAAAACTTGACAACAAATTCATTGAGTCCTCCTAGGATTGTGACCTCATGTTTGCTTTCGATGCTGAGGTAGAAGGTAAAGGAAGTCATACGGGCTTAGAACACATGTGATAACTACAGGTGAGACCCAAGACATGCCAGCTGGCCAGTGCTACCAAACTTGATATAATTCTGGTAAAACATAAAATATACAGAACAACTCTAGTAGTTTAAGAGACAACTAATACCCCTTAGGAAAAGAATGTGGAGTAAGCGTTGGATTCAGAGAGACTAGCAATATAAACTCATTCTCTGGGTATTTGTTCTCCCTCTGCAAACTGGGAAAGTACCACTTGATGGGACTGTGTCAAGTTTAAAGAGGTAAAATGGAGCAAAGCTACGGTGTTTGTTTTCACTCAGTCTTTTGCTCTTTAGCTGTGTCTTCAGGTTTAGGTATGGATCAGGACTCTAATCACGGATGGGCAACACTTCTGGTTCTCCTCACACACCTACCTGCCTAGCTTTGAGACATATTGAAAACTCTTTCCTAGTATTAAGATTTGGGGCTGAGGAGACAGCCCATTCTATACTGTGCTTGCTGAACAAAGCATGAGGATCTGAGTTTACTCCCAGAACATACATCAAAAGCTGGGCATTGCCGGGCAGTGGTGGCGCACGCCTTTAATCCCAGCACTTGGGAGGCAGAGGCAGGCGGATTTCTGAGTTCGAGGCCAGCCTGGTCTACAGAGTGAGTTCCAGGACAGCCAGGGCTATACAGAGAAACCCTGTCTCGAAAAACCAAAAAAAAAAAAGCTGGGCATGATGCTATGAAGCTGTGATCCCATTAAACACCTATGTGAAACACGGAAGCAAAGACAGGCAGATCTCAAGTGCTCTATGGCCAGCCCGTGTAACAAGTAAGCTTTATGTCCTAGTGAGAAACCCTGCCTCAAAAAAACAAGGTAGGCCAGGCATGACGGAAATGCCTTCAATGCCTCCAGCACGCAAAGGCATGTAGATCTCTGAGTGTTTTAAAGCTAGCGTGTTCTACAGTCAGGGCTACATAGTGAGACCTTGTTAGAAACAAAACCACTCCCCCAAAACGAAGTAGACAGCTAAGGCAACATCTAAGGCTGCTCTCTGGCCTCCACACCCACAAACACATTTAAATGCACATGTGTACATACACAGAATTCTGGCCTTCACATTCACACACACAAATGTACATGTGTGCACGAGTGGTCCCACTCCCTCCCTCCCCCCCTTCTCTATACTGTAAAAGCTAAGGCCAAGTGTGAAGCTGGTAAAGGAAATATGAAGCATATGGCAAGGGTGGGGAGGAGTCTTGTGAGGCTGAGGACCTGAGTTCTAGGGCAGTCTGGGCTACACCACGAGTTCAGAGTCAGTGCAGAGTTACATAACTAGGCAACACAGGAAAAGACAAAAAGTCATTGAGTGGGTATAGACAGTCAGTCCAGTGATAGACCATGTGTTCAGCATGCATAAGAACCTGTATTCTATTTCCAGCATTCTTCCTCAAAGTTAATTTGAAAAAAGTAAGATGTTATTAGAAGAGTGAGGAGGAAGATACCATAACAAAGGTCCAGACAGTGAAGTCAAAAAAGAAAACAGGGAGCCTAGAGAGACAGCTCAGTGATAAGAACACCCTGCTCTTGCAAATGGTCCAAGTCAATGCCCAGCCATGGCAGGTGCTAACAAAGCCCCGAAGCTACAGGAGAGCTCATGCATACTTCCTCAGGCACTCCACACACACACATAACTAAAACTTTAAAAAGAAACTAAAATGA